CTAAGTCCTTTTCTTTGAAGTTATTTGTAATTCAACTTTGTTCAGGATGCTAATTATTAAGTAATATCATCTTTTGCTTATTTTTGTTTTTTACTTTTGAATGTTTATTTCATTGTATTTCAAAAGAATCGTGACTAGTATAAATTATACAAGTTGTGACTAAATTTCCATTGTTTTTCATGTTACTAGTTTTGTAACAATTTGTTACTAAGTTTAGTAGGAAAATAACGTCACAAATAAAAACGAATTGTGACATTTGTGTGACTATAATCTAATCACTAATTGCAACTTATTGTGACATTATTTCGGTCGCATTTTGTGACATATCGGTGACTCTAATGTGGTAACAAACTGTGACAAATAAGTGACTATATTTTGGTCACAGTTTGTGACAAATTTGTGACAACATTTTCTGTCAGGATTTGTGTCGTTTTTGTCATTGTTTTCATATCGTCACAATTTGTGACGAATTATTACCAATATTAAACATTACAAAATTTTGTGACACTTTTGAGACTTAAATGGATTTGTGACGATTTTATTGTGACGTTTTAAAATTGGTATCAATYTTGTCACAATAACATTTTTGTGATGAAATATTTATATATTGTGACCAAAAAAATTGTAACAATATTGACTTTTTTTTGTAGTGTCTCCACAAAGCAGAACACATCTTAACAGAAGTCTCAAAAGAAACTCAGAGCAAAGAGTTTCGTGGAACGCAAACAAACACAAATACTTGAAACCGGTGCAATCTGGGGATTCACAGGCTCGACGATGACGAGGCTTATGTTCTTTTGGGTGATCTACAAACAGTATTTCCCTTACCATCTCCATTTCTACATGGAGAAACACGTTTACCAATTGATGGGATGGGTTTCTAATTATGTTCACATCAAGTTCGACGAGTATACTCAATGTCTCCAGAAAAGTCTTTAACAAAAAAAAAGGTCTCCAGAGAAGTGAAGCTTACAACTCCATACGCAATTATTTATCCTTGAAATCAACTGCTTTTGCAAAGAGATTAAAGGCCAACGAAACGAAAAACAACAAAGCGTTGGTGCTTAGTTTGGACGATCACAAGGCAGTCGAAGATGAGTTTGAAAGTGTGATGGTGAAATGGTCTTCGAAGGTGACAAAGAGTGAGAATCAATCTAATACGAGTCGAGGTAATGGCTCTGAAGAGAGAAGGTACTTCGCTCTTAGCTTCCATAGGGAGCACAAAGAGATGAGAAGGGAAAGAGATTGGGTTGAGGAACAGAGAGAGGATGGGAAATTTTTGGTAAACACATTAAAAATTAAGAGCAAAAGTAAGAGACAACAAAAGGTTAATAAGATAACAAGGTCCCCCGAAATATCAAAATATACCAATTAAGATTATTAGAAAATGAGGAGTGTCCAGTTGCAAAAATGCCACTAATTATAGATTTATAAAACCTATATCTTGAAATTCTAAATCCTAAAAAATGTTTTGACCCTTAAAACCTTCTAAACACTCAAAATCAAAATTTAACACAACATAGTTAATCCAAATATAAATTATATAATGAAAAAATGATTTTGAAAAAATAGCATTTTTGTAAAAATTTTGAAAATATAGAATTTTTGAAAGAGACATTTTCAATTATGCCACTTTGGATTACGATTTTGCAAGCTTGCCATCTGTGCATATACTTTTGCAATTATGCACGAAATTGTGGACTGTAACCTCAAAGAGCCCAAATCATCAAAAAAATTTCTTAACACCCTTATTTAACGTAACCACCCCTCAATTCTTTTTCTCTCAACTCTACCCCTCTTTTTTATTATTATTATATATACACACCCAATTAAATAATCCAACAAACAAATTAATTAATTCACCAACCAAAAACAATTTCAACCAATCAAAACAATCCACTTAA